CTCGGCCCTCGGCCTTTTCCAGGGCGAGTGGGTGTGGGTGGCCCGGGCGGGAGCGTCGTCGGACACTGCCCAACCCCACCTGGCCAAGGTGCAGGTCCAGGAGCCCCGCTGGAACCTAGCCGAGAGGCTGGGACCCGGCTCCGGGCAGCCGCGAGAGCAGCTTGCCGACCACCTGGCGTTGGTGTCCTCCACGCTGGCTTTTAATCTCGGCTGTGACCCCCTGGAAGTGGGAGAGCTCAGAATTCAGGTAGGAATGCTGCCTCTTCCTAACGCTCTCATTCTGCCTTAACTGAATTGGAAGGGTAGAGCTGTCGAAATTAGGACTTATATTCCTGCTATTTTGTATTTTAGATTTTTCACTTAACTTCCTTAGTTTACCGTTCTCTCTAGTCAAACGAATCTTAAGGCCACAGTGCAGTCGCTCTAGGGAGGGACTTTCAGCTGTTCGCCTCTCAAGTGAGGTTTAGTCACGTTGCCAGGTGTTTGTAGTAATCTACTCCGACCAAGCAGGTACTTAACGGATTGCTCAGCCTTGTGCTGGATGGTTTAGGTATTCCTTCTTTAATGACCTACCTGCTCAACAACTGTTCAGACTTAGCACCCACTGCTCGGATTAGGACCCCTGTTTTCTTTTGTACAGTTCTGTACAACTTGGTAGAGCCTCAGCTGCTTTTGGGGTACAGTATACCTTGTTTGCACAGTACTGTAATTTTTCTGATTGCATCATGCCATCCTGTAGTTTTATGTTGCACATTACAGTACTGCATGTAAGAGTCTTCCAAATAAAAGCAAAGTCACCAAGTTGGAGTTTCCTTTGACTTTTCTTTTTTTTTTTGTACCAGAGATCGAACCTTGGGTCCTTGTGCTTGCCAGGCAGGCAGCAGAACCATTGAGCTAAATGCCCAACCCCCTTTGACTTTATTTTATTTATTTATTTTTTTTGAGACAGGGTCTCACTATGTAGTTGAGACTGACCTGGAACTCACTGTGTAGGCCAGGCTTGTCTCGAACTCACAACGATCCTCCTGCCTCAGCCTCCCGAGTGCTGGGATTACAGGCGTGCACCACCACACCTGGCTGACTTTTTTGTGTGTGAATATTATTATGTACATACTACATATGATTCCTCATTTAGCAACCAATTCATTTAACAACCTAAGTCATCTGAGCAGAACTCAGTCATTAAGTGTATTGAGCTTTAGCTTTTGAGGTTTTTTTGTTTTTGTTGTTTTGGTGGTACCTGGGATGAATTCAGGACCTTGCACTTGCAAGGCAGGTGGCAGCACCACTGAGCTAAATCCCTGGTCCCTGAGCTTTAGCTTTTGCTCTAAACTTCAAATTCATGTTCTCCCTTCCACTGTTAAAAAATCCTACCAGCCTTAGGAAGGGACAGGGAAAAAAAGTGAAAATAGAATGAAAAAATGGAAACAATGCTTTGTCCATAGGAGCGGGGGCTTGAGGGAGGAATGGGATAAAGTAAAATTTGTTTTTTAAAAATCCTACCGTCATGCCGGTACAATGTTCAATTTTCGGGTTTTTTTTGTTGTTGTTGTTTATTTGGTTGGTTGGGTTTTTGTTTTTTTGTGGTTTTTTTTGTTTGTTTGTTTGTTTTTTGAGACAGGATCTCACCATGTAGTTGAGACTGATCTGGAACTCACTATGTAGCCCAGGCTGGTCTCAAACTTACAGAGATCCTCCCACCTCAGCCTCCTGAGTGCTGGGATTACAGGCATGAGCCACCACGCCTAGCTTTTTTATGTTTTTGAAGACAAACTCACTGTGAACTTAACTGCATAGTCCAGACTCTGGCCTTGAATTTGTAGTGATCCTCCTGCCTCAGCCTCCCAAATGCTGGGATTATAGCTATGGGCCACCATGCCCAGCCTTATTTGTCATTATTAAGCATCTAGATGTATGATTTAGGCTGTTTGTTGCCATCCACTAGCCATTTCATGCCCTCCTCCCTTCAGGGACTGAACTCAGGAGCCTGTGTGGCACCACTGAGATACATCCCTGACATGGCTTTTAAAATTTAAATTGAAGAGCTGGGTGTGATGACATACACCTGTAATCTTAGCATTGGAAAGGCTGAGGCAGGAGGATCACAAATGTTCAAGGCCAGCCTGGGCTATGTAGGAAGCTCAGAGATGGCTTGAACTATGTATCGAGACCCTATCTCATAAAAAAAAAATTTAAATATATCAAGGCTCTATAAACAAGATGTACAGAACTGTACAAAAAAAAAAAAGTTTTTCGGTCCCTGGTGCCAAAAATAAGAGTACTAAGTTCAGTCATTAAAGAATGAATATCTATACATATAAATGGAAGTGGCTGTGGTTTCCTTCTGAATGGAGGAAGATCTGCTCCAGTACGCAGAATGGAGTTCATTTATCTGAATCAACTGTTTCAGCTTCATTAAGATCATGTCCTTTTCCCATAGCCTAAATTCAGAGTGTTACTGATGTTCACTTAATAGCCCGTTGGTTGCCAAATTACACACAAAGGCCTTGTGGAAATGTCTTTGCCCTTTTTGGCTGTAGTCCAAGTTAAAGGTATCCTAGAAAGGTTCTCATTATTGGGGAGTTTTTTGGAGGTAGAGTCAAGAAAAGAGGTCACATTGCTTCCTGGTACCCATTAAAACAGACATGTTCAGGCCCCATGCAGCCATGGAGAGCGAGTAATACTGCCCGCTATTATGTGATTCTTAGTGATAGTTTCTTTCTTGTTTTTTGTACCGGAGATCGGAACTTGGGCCTTTGCACTTGCAAGGCAAGTGGCAGAACCACTGAGCCAAATCACCATCCCTCTTAGTGATATTTTCATGCCTTGGCTGCCAGTGTTCAGTAGGCTGTGTAGTGACAGTGGAACCCTGCATAGGGGAGGGCACAGTGCAGGGCAAAGTCCCTAGGAATATTGAGTGCTATATGTGCTTGTGGGAGTTGGTGAGTAAAACACAGTAACTACCAATAATTCTATTCCAGCTTCCTGCACATGTGTGCACCTGTGAAGAAGCATTGATTGCTTAATGGCAATTAAGCAGACACACATTCCCATTTATTTATTTATTGGTACAGGGGATTGAACTTGGGACCTTGTGCTTGCAAGATAGGTGGTGGAACCACTGAGCTAAATCCCTGGCCCTCATTTAATTATTAAATTTAGGTTTGTTACGTTATTTAGCAAAAACATTTAATAAGTTAAAATATTAAAGAATTGGTGTTACTAATACACTTTAACTATATTACATACTTTATGAGTAGCCCAATACAATTCCTCTTCACCCAGAGCAGCCCACATAAGCCAAAAGGCTGACCGCCCCTGTGTTAGAGGGAAAGATTTGGGCTTGCTAGGAAAATAGAGGAATTTGTTTCTGCTACCTCAGGCCCTGCTTCGTGGTTATGGGAAGGGTAGAGGCTGGAAGAGATATTAGCTACCAAGAGACAGAGTTAACCTGACTCCCCGGGAGAAGGCTCTAAGGTGGTGATTATTTCTCTGATAGAGGTACACGGAAGGCTCCATCAGTCCTGAAGACAGAGGAAGCTGCTCATTGCTGCCTGGGCCTCCATTTGCCAGAGAGTTACACATCGACATTGTGTCCTCTCCCAACTACAGCACTAGTGGAAATTATGACCAGGTTCTTTATCGGCACTTTCAGACACCCAGGTTCGCTGCCCACCCCTTTAGGGAAGATGGCATCTCATCCTCCTTGCTCTCCTATCTGATGCCTTAGATCCAGGAACCCCAGGGCCTCTGGTTAAAAGCCCCACAGTTAGGGGATATTTTACCCAGGATCCTCTTGGTGTGTCAGACAGACAACAGAAAGAGATATATGAACAATTGAGGTGAATTTAGATCTTCCAAACAGAAATGTGTTTAATCAAAGAGGACTTCAACTGGGTATAGTGACATACACCTATCATCCCAGTGTTTGGGAGGCTGAGGCAGGAGGAGTTCAAGTTCAAGACTAGGTTGAACAAATCAGTGAGACCTTGTCTCAAAAATAAAAAGTTCTAGGTTAGTGTACCCTTGGGTTTGACCTCCAGTACCACAAAGGGGTAGGGGGCAAAAAATAAGAAAAATAGAGCATCCCCACATAGGAGAGAGAGGACTCCAGAAGACCTAGGAGTTTTCTGTGTCTCATTGCTCTCTGGCCTGTCTAGTTTCCCTTTTCCCCAACTCAGTCTGGGTCTCCATGGTTCCTGGACCACTGCTGGGGGGACTCTGAGTGTGTAGTAGACAGACCCCCTAAGGAGGAGTCTGTACCTAGGGCGGGTGTAGGGGACATGTCAGGCACAGCTCCTTGGGAGCTGACCCAGGTCACTGCTGTGTTGCAGGGTGGTCCAGGAAGGTGATATTCTGTGTGTGCCGACAGCTGGTCAAGTAGAGACCCTGGAAGGACGTCTGGAGAGACTGCCCAGGTATGCAAGATGGTGTAATTTTGTACCTAAGAATATTTTGCTGTTGCTGTATATGTTTTTCTGGGGAGAAGAAAAATTCTTCAGGTTCCCAAACAGGTACATAAATGAAGAAAGGTTAAGAACCACTGCCTGAGCTGGGTGTGGTAGTGCACACCTAATCCCAGCGCTTGGGAGGCTGAGTCAGGAGAATTGCCAAGCATTCAAGGGCAGGCTGGACTATATAATAAGACCCTGTCTTAGTGCTGGGGATCTAGCTCAGTGGTTCTGCTGCCTGCCTCGCAAGCACAAGGACCCGAGTTTGATCCCCAGTACCCCCCCCAAAAAAAGACCCTGTCTCAAAAAATGAACCACTGCCAGGCATGGTGGCGCACACCTGTAATCCCAGCACTGGGGAGGCTGAGGCAGAAGGATCACTGTGAGTTTGAGACCAACCTGGGCCACATAGTGAGTTCCAGGTCAGTCTCAACTATACAGTGAGACCCTGTCTCAAAAAAACCAGGAAAAAAAAAAAATGAGCCACTGCCTGGGGCTGTAGCTTAGTGTGCAAGGCCTTTTGGATTCCTTCAGCAGCACTGCAAAACAAGTGCACCATTGCCTGCTGGTTCTGTGAAGTGCTTATCCTCAGACTGCCTGGTGGTCGTAAAGTAAAACAGTAATTTAAAGGGGGCCAAGGATGCAGCTCAGTGGCAGAGCACTTGCCTAGCATGTATGAGACCCTAAGTTCCATTCCCAGCACCACTAGAGGATAAAAAGACTAGTTTCATGTTCCCAGCCGTGATGAGATTCTGTGCTTTTCGTTCTCAACCTCAGTATTGTTTGGGCAGGATGCGAGCTGTGCCATTTGTCTCAGGCACAGAACTAGGCATGGTAGTGTGTGCTTGTAATTCTAGCTATGGGGGAAGAAGCTGTGAAGAATAGCAAGTTAAAGGCCAGCGTGGGGAATTAGTGAGGCCCTGTCTCAAACTGAGTCTGCCAGGCCTGGTGCACACCTGTAATCCCAGTACTTGAGAGGCTGAGACAGGATTGCTGCAAGTTCAAGGCCAGTTTAAACTACATAACAAGAATCTGTCTTTTTTGTTTTTTTGAGACAGGGTCTCACTATGTAGTTGAGACTGACCTGGAACTCACTATGCAGCCCAGGCTGGTCTCGAACTCACAGTGATCCTCCTGCCTCAGCCTCCCGAGTGCTGGGATTACAGGCGTGCGCCACCATGCCCGGCTAACAAGAATCTGTCTCAAACATCAAAAAACTATCCCCAGTGGCACACCAGGAATCCCAGCTCTGGGAGGCAGAGATGGGAGGGTTGAAAGTTCCAGCTTAGCCTGGGCAATTAGTGAATCAGTGAAACCATGTCTCAAAAAACAAACTGTGGGGGGCCGGGGATTTAGCTCAGTGGTTCTGCTGCCTGCCTTGCAAGCGCAAGATCCTGAATTCAATCCCCAGTACCAAAAAATGAATAAGCTGGGGGGCCAGGGATTTAGTTCAGTGGTTCTGCTGCCCAAGCATAAGTTCCCGAGTTCAATCTCCAGTACCAAAAAAAAAAAAGTAAAATAAAAATAAACTGAAGGGCTGGGGATTTAGCTCAGTGGCACTAAGCCTGCCTGGCAAGCACAAGGTCCTGAGTTCAATCCCCAGTACCAAAATAAACAAACAAACTGAAGAGTAGCTCAGTGTGAAGGCCTGGGGTTCAGTCCCCAGCACCTAGCATCCGTAAGACTCTGGGTGTAGTCCCCAATACGGCAAGAAAAAATACACAGACTGCGATTTCTTCTCTAGCTGGTGCAGTTCATGCATGCTACTCCTCAGTCCTGTCTGAAAATGTGGGAGAGGTGCCAGCCCCTCAGAGAATCAGAGGTGGAGCATAATTGAATCAAGAGCCTAGATCAAAGACCCAGTTTTTCTGTTTATGACCACAGAGGTCTTGTGTCAAATAGGGAGGTAAAGGATTAAGGGGCAGGTTTAGGTATTAGGGGCACATGCTTAGCGTGTATATCCCTAGGTCAAATCCCCACTGACAAAATGAAGTGAGTGCTTTTGGCCAGCTTTTCCCCTTGGGACTGTAGTGATTGACTTGGAGTGCCATGTGGGCAGGTCTGTGGTCCTGCTAGTTTGTGTCTGAGTGCCTCCGTCTATACCCAGAGCAGGTCCAAGCCAGTGCTTGGTGCTCCCACTTTACGGCAGTGGTACCGGGTGAGCCGAGCTGTATCCCATGCCACTTGAGCTTTTTTTGAGATGATCTTGCTGGCATCAAATTCATGATTCTCCTGCCTTAGCCTCCTGAGTAGCTGACATTACAGGTATGTGCTACTGTGTGTGACATCCTGTAGAGTCCACAGTTCAGCTAGGTGTGGTGGTTCAAGCCTGTAGTTCAGATACTCTGAAGCCTGAGGCAGGAGGATCACCATGAGCTTACAGGTTTGAGACCACCAGCCTAGGCTACATAGCAAAGTGTACATGCGATTCAGTGGCTTTTATTATATTCACAAGGAAGTCAGTATTTCTAACTCCAGAGCTGTTATCACCCCAAAAAGAAACCTCATACCCATTAGTTGTCAATCCCTCCTCCTCCCATCACCCTGCCTGAGCTTGGCAGTCACCAATCTGTAGAATGGGGTTGTGTAATTTATGATCAATGCTTGTTTTTTTAAAGCTTCCCAGGTAATTCAAGAATAGAGAATCAGATTAGTCATTAGATGCCATTATTAAGGAGGCTGTCTGCAGTTCGTTTCTGTGGGTTATGGAATAATAGTCAAGGGACTGTCCTTCAGGTCCTGGGCCAGGGGACGCCTAGGAGGAAGAGACTATTCTGAAGCCGTGGTGGACTTGGAATCCACTCACTGCTCAGCATGGCAGCGCCTTCTCCCACTGGAGTGGATGACGAGGCCTTGTGCCTGGGTAGGTGCACTCCCAGGCATTCTGACATTGGCTTGGGGAGACACTGAGGGACAGGCCTAGCTCCTGCCCTGAAAATGTGTATGTTACAAGCCAGGCATGGTGGTGCATACCTGTAATCCCATTCTTCTGGGAGGCAGAGGCAGGAGAAGTGTAAATTTAAGTAGCCTGGGCAACTTAAAAAAGCTGGGCACATAGCTCAGTGCGAAGGCCCTAGATTCAATCCCCAATACTCCCCCCTTCCAAAGTATGGTGCATTGGGGGAGATCAGAAAGATCATCTGCTCTCCTTCTCTGCCCCATATCGCCTGCCACATCTTGGGGCACTTATCTGTGCTGCTCGTGACTTTGTCCCCTAGGATGGGAAAGCCATCTATCCCTGGGAAGTGGGTGTTTGTGTGCTCAGGATCCAGGCTTCATTGGGTCTCTTTTCTTGCAGGTGGCACGAGGTATATTTTAAAGTGAAGAAAACCATTGGAGATGCTCCGGGTGGGCTGTCTGGTGCCTACTTGGCTGATACCACACATACCTCCTTGTACATGGTGAGAGGTCCGGTGGGAGCTGATCAGGTGACAGGGTGCAGGTGGGTTTCAGACCTAATACAGCCTTGCTCTCACAGGTGGGCTCCACTCTGAGCCCTGTGCCTGCACACCCTTCCGGAGGGCAGAGTCTCTGGGGTGGCTTATCCCCTCCTGGCCTGGAGGCCTTGGTGACTTCACTCTGTGCCATCCTGAAGCCTTGTCTTCAGCCAGGGTGAGTGAGGCTGTGGCATAGGGCTCTGTCCTGCTCAGCACATGGGCCAAGGGGCAGCCTGAGGAGGGCTCTTAGTGCTCTGCCCAGATCTGGGTCACACGGCCACTGTGCCCAGCACAGGGCCCTTGCCCTCGCTGTTCTGTAGTAGATATCAGGTCCTTTCTGGTCAGTTTCCACTTCCACATGTGGGGAAGATTCCCCCACCCAGGCAGCTGTCTCTGGAGTGGCCCTGCTCTCAGGAACCTACTGGCCATCCTGGCCCTGAGGTCACAACATCCAGCACCAGGGGCCCAAGTGTAGATCCAGACCCCTGCCTAGTGTAACTCAGCACTGTTGGGACCAGCCAGAAGGCATGGCTGACAACAGCGCTCTGGCCTGCTGAGGGAGCTGTGCCATACCCTTGCCAGAGCTCCAAAGGCCCGGCATATGGAAAAGGACAGGACCAAAGGCTCTGTGTCATAGGGCTTCCAGCAGGAATCTGTCCTGTTTGCAGAGGTGCCCTGCTGACAGGCACGAACTGTGTCCTTCTGCGGGGACCCCCGGGCAGCGGGAAGACCACTGCAGTGGCCGCTGCCTGCAGTCGCCTTGGGCTGCACTTGCTGAAGGTGAGGGTCCCTGGCCAGACCCACATTCGGCCTCCTCCTTTCCCTGCCCTCTATCATCGGTGGCCCAAGTATGGGCCATGATTCCAGGCTGCGGGGTCCTTTGAAGGGGAGGGAATGGGAATGCGATAGAGGTAGGTCCTGCTCACTGTCCCTGTTTCACCCGGCCCTGCCCTTGAAGACAGCCTATGTGTCCTGACTCCTCTGCCCCTGCCCCTTGCTCACAGACACTTGCGTGTGCCCCCCAGGTGCCCTGCTCCAGTCTTTGTGCAGACAGTAGTGCGGCCTCTGAGGCAAAGCTGCAGACTGCCTTCTCCCGAGCCCGCTGCTGCCGGCCTGCTGTCCTGCTGCTCACGGCTGTGGACCTGCTGGGCCGCGACCACAATGGGCTGGGCGAGGACCCCCGGGTGGTAGCTATGCTTCGTCACCTCCTCCTTGATGAGGACCCCCCCAGCAGGTGCTCACAGGGTGGGGCCCAGCTTTCCTCATTCTCGATATACCCGGGTGGCTTCTCAGAAACCCCAGGAGGGTGTTCAGAGGGTGGATGTGGCTGGGATTTCTTGGGGATGCTAGGTCGAAGTAAATGCACAGCACCTGCCCTCTGTGCTCCCACGGCAGGGCTAAGCACAGGTCCCCAGGCATCCTTGGGCCCCATCCCTGCCACCCACCTCCCTCACCCTCCGTTCCTGCCTTCAGCTTCCCCCCGCTAATGGCCGTGGCCACCACAAGCCGGGCCCAGGGCCTGCCTGCTGACGTGCAGATGGCGTTTCCCCATGAGCTGGAGGTGCCTGTGCTGTCCGAGGGCCAGCGGCTCAGCATCCTGCAGGCCCTCACCGCCCACCTGCCCCTGGGCCAAGAGGTCAACCTGGCACAGCTGGCCCGGCGGTGTGCGGTGAGTGCCCCAGGGGGCCAGGGGCCAGGGTAGGTGCCCTAACATGCCTGCTCAAGTTCTTTCTGTGGCTCCCTAGGGATTTGTGGCAGGGGACCTGTGTGCCCTCCTGGCCCACAGCAGCCGGGCAGCCTGCACCAGAATCAAGAACTCAGGGTAAGAGGGTGAGGGTCAGGCAGTGGTGGGGGAAGGCACTGGGGAGGAGGGGAAGGTACGAGGACACCTGCAGGGAGGCCCTCAGCCAACCTGTTTCTCTGCAGTTCAGGGGGCAGCCTGAGTGAGGAGGATGAGGTGGAGCTGTGTGCTGCTGGCTTCCCCCTCCTGGCCGAGGACTTCGGGCAGGCACTGGAGCAGCTGCAGACAGCTCACTCCCAGGCTGTGGGGGCACCCAAGGTGGGTTCCCTCACTGTGCTTGGAGACCTGGAGGAGCTGTACATGCCCCCCCACATGCCCCAACCTCACACTCCTGTCCCTAGATCCCCTCGGTGTCCTGGCATGATGTGGGTGGACTGCAGGAGGTGAAGAGGGAGATCCTGGAGACCATCCAGCTTCCCCTGGAGCACCTAGAGCTGCTGGGCCTGGGCCTGCGACGCTCGGGCCTTCTGCTGCACGGGCCCCCAGGCACTGGGAAGACCTTGCTAGCCAAAGCAGTGGCCACGGAGTGCAGCCTGACCTTCCTCAGGTGTGCAGGTTGGCAGTGGAGGTGGGGGTCAAGGGCTGCCCACAAGGCAGGTATGTCCAGCTCGCCACCTCACCCTCATATAGCGTGAAGGGGCCAGAGCTCATCAACATGTATGTGGGCCAGAGCGAAGAGAACGTGCGGGAAGGTGAGTAGCTGAGACGGCCTCCAGCCCTCCCTAGACTCCACCCTCAGGTACCAGGTCCTCGCCACAATTAGGCCCCTGCCTGCCAGGCCTGGGCCCTGGGGTGCTACACCCTGGCTCCCCACCCTCCCTCAAGCCCCTCACTCAGTGTTTTCCAGGGCCAGGGCTGCTGCCCCATGCATCATCTTCTTTGATGAGCTGGACTCCTTGGCTCCAAGCCGGGGACGCAGTGGAGACTCTGGGGGCGTGATGGACAGGTGGGCCCCGGCGCAAGAAGGGGAAATAGTGATAGCAGTCTGCAGACCAGAGCCCAGGATTGAATCCCTGACTTGTCGCTTGTGGATACAATGACATAGCTGACAGGAGCCATGGAGGAGTTGGGACTGGGACAGCGGGGGAGTGGGGTGGGTGTGCAGTGGGGCCCAGGGCTGAACGGGCAGAGGCAGAACTTGAAGGTGGCCCGGAGACTCTGGCCTTGCTTCCTTCCCTGCAGGGTGGTGTCTCAGCTCCTGGCAGAGCTGGACGGGCTTCACAGCACCCAGGACGTGTTCGTGATCGGAGCCACCAACAGACCAGACCTCCTGGACCCTGCCCTCCTTCGGCCTGGCAGGTGGGCCTGTGAAACTACTCACCTCCACCAGCCCCTCTGGGGTCTCTGTCCCCCTTTGCAGCTGAGCCCTGACGCTTTCACTGCCTGTCTTCCTAAGGTTTGACAAGCTGGTGTTTGTTGGGGCGAGCGAGGACCGGGCCTCCCAGCTGCGTGTTCTGAGTGCCATCACCCACAAGTATGCTCTGGGCTTGGGGTGGCTTGGGGATGCATGCTGCATGCGGGACCAGCTGCTCAGCACTGGCCAGGGAGGGAGGCCAGCGGGAACGAGCCTCCTCTGCCCACAAACAGGTTTAAGCTCGAGCCCTCGGTGAACCTGGTGAATGTGCTGGACCACTGCCCTCCCCAACTGACGGGAGCAGACCTCTACTCTCTCTGCTCTGATGCCATGACCTCCGCCCTCAAACGTAGGGTTCGTGACTTGGAGGAAGGTGAGCCATTCAGCCCCAGAGCTCAGTCAGGAAGCCAGTGAGGGGTGCCTAAGGGATCCGAGCAGGAAGGTCCCTTTCCCAGCCTCCCTCCTCATCTCCTCTAGGGCTGGAGCCTGGGAGCTCAGCTCTGTTGCTCACCATGGAGGACCTGCTACAGGCTGCTTCCCGGCTACAGCCCTCAGTCAGCGAGCAGGAGCTGCTCCGGTACAAGCACATCCAGCGCAAGTTTGCTGCCTGCTAGGAGCCTCCTGCCACCAGGACCTGCCTGCTATGGCGAAAGGTACCTACCAGGCTCTTCAGAGCCCCATGAGGAAAGAGCTCATCCTTGGGTTCCGCCCACCTGAAGGGTGCCTGGGTGCAGAGAGGTGTTGGAGCCCCAGGCCATGTTCAGGGACATCTGCTGCCTCAGTCCTAGCCAGCTCCAGAGCTAGTTTGGGGGCCTATTCCTGGGACAGCTGGGAGATCCATTTTGCAGCCGAAAATAAAGTGTGTGCTGCCCCTTGCTGGTGGTGTGTGGGACTGCAGGGGAAGAGAGCAGCCATGGTGGGAAGGGGGTCATTGGTCCTGACAGAAACACAGGCAGGGCATCGACAGGCACAGGCTGTATTGTGTCTGCCTCTTTGCTTGAGCCACATCACTGCTCCAGGGGTGTCACGTTCAGTCTGTCCTCTTGAGCACGTGGATGAAGTAGCAGGGAACATAGGCCTGGCCCGGCTTGTAAGGCTTGAAGTCACCCAGGACACTGTGCTGGCACTTGCCCCCAAAGGCTGCTTGCAACAGCTCTGTGAAGGACGCCAGGCGGTGCGGGAAGTAGGAGAGCCGGAACTTGCTGCACCAGGTGGCAGACTGTGAGGCTGTGGCCTCGGCACTCAGCAACTCCCCACCCCCACCCAGCCAGGTGCTACCTGAAGCCCTGGGCGCCATCCCGGCCAGCATCTGGCAGTTGTACCGTGTAGTCCAGTGTCACCATGTGAGCTTTGTTGTTCACCGTCAGCACCGATGTCCTGATGTCCTTGGTCAGGTCACTCTAGAAGCGGTGTTAGGGTTGCATTAGCCTCTGCAACCCCCAAGGCTGTGGACCCACGTGTGTCTGCCCCAGGGCCCACCTTGTAGTAGATGTTCTTCCCTGGAGGGGCACAGCCTGTGCTGAGGATGTGGTCATAGTTACGATGGTCGATGACCAGCAAGCCGCCTGGCTGCACCATGCTTGCAATGTTCCTCAGCGCCAGCCGGTGTTCACTCTGGTCACCTGGGCTCCAGGAAGAGCAGAGGCCGTCACCAACCTCCCTCCCACATCTCCCTCCAGGGGCAGAAAGCAGATGCCAGGAAAGGAAGCACCAGGGCCACACCCCTCACCTCTGCAGTCTGGCAAGTGGGCAAAACTGTTCCCAAGGCAGATTACAGCATCAAAGCCACCACCTTCTGGCCTGGGTACATCTTTGTCCAGAGTCATCCAGTTGGCTTCTTCAATGACTAGGGAGCCAGCAATGGGAAGAGAAAGGGGAATAGCATCGCAGGGCCAGCTCCTCCAAGGGTGTTTCTGCAGAACACTGGGCTCCCCTCACATGAGGGGACCGTCAAGGATGGGGAGTCTGAGCAGGAAGCAGGGCTCTGTGCTTAGGGATTGTGACTGGGAGGAGGGACTGCAAAGGGTTATATGACCGTGGTGGTGGACACTATCTGAATGGAGCCTGCTCAACGGCCCTAGGTTCAGAGTACCAAAAAGCAAACCCAAAACACCACCACCTAGCTCTTCACATCCACTAGTCTCCACCATTCAGAGGCTGAGGGTTGTAGGTTCAAACCCAACCTGAGCCACTTAGACCCTGTCTTAAGAAAGGCTGGGAAAGTAGCTCAGTGTGAAAGCCCTGGGTTCAGTCTCCAGAACTGAAAATAAAGTCTGGCTCTTGATCCCTGGTACCTCTTGTGAGGCCCAAGTTTCCTCCTTCAGGGAAAGGACAGTAATATTGCCGTCCCCCACCCCCGTGTAAAAGAGCTGACCTTGCCCAGGAGGAACAGACTTACCCCACTTGTCGAAGGCTGGCTCCCGCCGCCGATTCCAGCGCTCTTTGAGTGCATACTTGAGCATCTTGTCACTAGCGTCCACACTTGTCACGCTGAAGCCCTCTTCTACCAGCATAATGGAGTCCACACTGGGGAAGGGCAGGGCGCACAGCATTGCACCTCAGCCTCCTGTCCCTGACCACACATACCCTCACTGATCCGTTCCTGGCCACCAGGGCTTTTTCCTTTAACATTACACCTTTTCAGGGCCAGGGGTTTAGCTCGGTGGTTCCGCCACCTGCCTGGCAAGCAAGCGCAAGGTTCCAAGTCCGATCCCAGTACCCACCCCCTGCCAAAAAAACACCCTTTCACCGGCGGGGGCCGGGAATTTAGCTCAGCGGTGCTGCCACCTGCCTCGCAAGCACAAGGAACTGAGTTAGATCCCAGGTACCAAACAATACAATGGTGGCAGACCCATTGAGGGAGGGGCAGGGGAGGCTCCGGGAAGCCCTGAAGGGTCCCCAGTAGTGGGCGCTCTGCCACCTCTTCAGGAGCGTGTGAAAGTTCCGGGCATGGCGTACTCCACACGTGCAAATGTTGACCAAGTTGGCGTTGCCTAAGGCCATCGCGGAGGCGCAACGGCAGAGCGAGGGATCTGCTGGCCCGGAACCCCACAAGCCCGAGCTCCACCTGTGACACCTGTCCCGGGTCACCTCCCGCAGTCCCCCTGCTCCTCACCCTGTGCCGCAAGCCACGTCCAACACCCGCTGGCATCCGTGCTGGCGTAGCAGCCCCAGTAGCCACGCTTTGTACTCGGCCGTGCGGCTGCGGGTGTTCCCGATGTATAGCTGCCACACGCGTGCCGCCTCCCCGTCCGCATACTGGTCCGGGAGCCCCTCGGCTGCTACACCCAGGGAGCGGGTGCGGTACACGGTGTCTACCATCTCGTTCTGTGCTAGAGACGAGCAGCCCCCATTTATCGGCGGCCCTTGCCACACTTGGCCAATGGCAGGGGAGCGCGGGGACACGCCCCTGCCTGGCTCTACCCGGCCACGCCTCCGCTGGCCAGGACCAGACTGGCTCCCTTCGCACTTGACACGCGGCTCCGCAGTCCGATCAATCGCCCACTCCACCTCACCTGAGTTGAGAAAGGAAGAAAACTTCAAAATCCATGCAGACATGAGCCCTGGGCGGGCGGGGCTGGACTGCCCAGCAGGGAGGGGGGATGTCTTTCCCGCTGAAGGAGGCCGCCAGGGCTGGGCGGTTGCTGCATCGAGCCTCTTGCCTTGAGTTGGAATCCGGATCTTCTGGCCCAGCTCCGTGGCACATGCCAGGAATCCCTACTACAAGAAGGCAAACGGGGCTGGTAAACTCGGCCAGTCTGGCATTTAAGGGCCCTGCTTCAAGATAAAAAATATAAAAGGGCCTCAGTTCAATCCCCGGTACCAAAAAAAAGGGACTAGGGCTGAAGCTCAGTGCAGAGACCCTAGGTTCCACCCACACAACCACTTAAACCACTGGCTTTCCACAGGGAGAAGTTTGGGGGAAGCACTTTGCTCCCTTGCTGTCACATTGCTTTGGTCACATCGTGCACAGGCTCTTCCCCAGAGCAGGTTCTTCAGGTTTCTCTGAGGCAGAGCCAGGCAGGTGTCACCAAACAAGTCCAAGATGTGCACAAAAGCCTTTCCCACCTGCCTCTGTGTTTCCAGCTAAAGAACAGGCGCCTCTCCTGCCCTAACCCTACCTCAGCAGCAGCCTGGAGCTGGAGGGCGCCCAGGGATGGTGTAATCGCCTTCACTTAGCACACAGGTGGTCTCCGATGGGCCTGGACAAGTGATGGCACCTTGGGCTCACACTTGCCCTCCCAGCAGGTCCTTGGCAACAGACTTAGGCACTCTGTGTGCGGTGGTGTACACCCACTGTCCCAGGTATCCTGGAGCCTGAGGCGGAATGACTGCAAGCTAAAGGCCAGCCTAAGCAACTTAGACTATCTCAAAATAAAGAGGGCTGGGTGGCTGGGGATGTGGCAAGTGCAAGGTCCTGAGTTTGATTCCCAGTACTGCAAAAAGTAAAATAATAAAAAGGGCTGGGGCCAGGTATTTAGCTCAGCACTGTGGCACAAGGTCTTGATCCCTGGTACCAAAAGGGGAGGGCTGGAGTGTAGCTCAGTGATAAGAGCTCTGGCAGCATGTGAGAAGCCCTGGGCTCCGCCCCCAGCTCATGCTTGAGACCTGCAGTGTTGCACGCAGGGCTTCTGTGAACATTTGGGCGATCAGGGCTCCACAGGTAAGGGGCCACCATTTACACCACAGGCCTCGTAGGTCTGGGTTTAAATAATGATAGTTTTCTGCCTCATTCTAACACAATTTACATTAAAACAACACAAATTGGGAGGCTGAGACAGGATTGTGAGTTTGAACCTAGCTGGGCAAATAAGGACTTAGACCGTTTCATCATTTTTTCCCCCAAAAGCTGTGTTTGTAACTTAGCACAGAGACCCTGGGTTCAGTCCCACTACACAGCAGGGTGCTGTGTGGAAAATCCACACATCCACCTGGAGCCAGGAGCTGGCCTCTAGGAGGCACCCTGAGTGAGCCATGAGGGGACCCGGAGCCTTCATTGTCTGGGCCTGGGAGTCTTCATCTCTATTTGGCAGAGGTGAGGTCTAACCCATTGGAGGCAGGTGATGACCGGCCACTGAACCAAAGGAAACCAGCTTGGGGTTTGTACCTCTGCATCAGCCCTAGTGGTGTGGTTAATGGGAGCACTGAGAGCTGGGTCCACCTGGGGTCTGAGAAGCTGCTTCTGAGGACAAGACCCTGATCCAGTAGGGCTCCACGGGGGCCCTGCCCCTTAGGACAGCAGGGTTCTCTTGAGAGCTGGGGTGCAGCTCAGCAGTGGGCACTCGCCTGGCACATGCAGCCCCCAGGTTCCATCCCCAACACACCGGAAACAACAGAGAAGGCAGAGATGTTTGCTCAGCACACAGGCTGCTGTGAAGCCCAGACCGACTGCAACACACCAGCCACCTAAACAAGCTTCCCAGGTGCAGAAAGGAAATCTAACAGGGTTTCTGACACAGAACTGAAATTTGGTTAATTTGTTAGGTTTGCCCGAGTGCATGGCGGGGGGGGGGGTTGTGTGCAAAAGTGGGGCACAGTTGCTCCCTCCTTCCAGACCAGGCTTGATGGGGGTTGGGGAATGCCACTGGCTGGCCCTGGGGGCACAGCAGGATCCCTGAAGCAGCCACAGGTCAAAGAGCAAGGCTTCCCAGTGCTGCTGCCCTCAGGTGTGGGGTTGCAATTGGGTCCCTGGGCCGACACCCCGGAAGCAGATAGGGCACTCTGGGGACAGACGTGGGTTAGTGACAAAAAGGGAACTCAGACTGGCCCAAGAGCCGCAAACTGACTCCTGACCCAGGACCCCAGCTCCTCCCGTACCCAGCTCACTGCAGCAGGGGCACTTAGTGCTAGAGGCAGAGACTGGGGCCGCACCAAGTCCCAGCCTTGAGTAGAGGCAAAGCTACTGCAGCTCTGCTCTCCACATGTCCGGGAGCCACTCCTGGGCTGGGCCTGACTCCCTGCAGCACCCACCCCCGGCCTAGGGCAGGAGAGGTACCATGGGGTACTCACCTGGTACAGCATAACCTTCCTGCTCTCCTTCACCCTCCATGCCAGCCACGAGGCCACTTCCTGCCTGCCTTTCTGATGGGCTAGGGCCGAGCAGGGCCTGGTGCGTGCTCCACTCGCCCTGGCCCAGCTGTTCCTATTTGCCTTTGGGGGTTTGCAGGTGGTGGGCCAGGCCCGAGGGACCGAACCAGGCGAGTGTGAACGCCGCTTGCAGGGCCAGGTGCAGAGGGGAGGACCCTGGCAGCTGGGGAAGTGGAAGCCCTTGGAGTCTGAGTGTGCGTCTCAGCTATGCCACTAATGAAAAGGACCTGTCACAGACCCCACCTCCTCCACGTGTAGTCAGGGTTCAAGTCGACAGCGCTAACAAGTCCCTGCCCCTGCCTGGGACAGCCTGGGAGGACCTGTCCACCACCCCACCACCGGCAGAACACGGTAACCACGCGTTACTGCAGGGCAGGGTGTCCTCCCCTTGAGACTTCGGCAGTGACCGAGTGTGGTCATCGGGGAACAAGGTCCAAGAGCAGGCAGGGCAGATGCAGGTCCGGGGGCGGCAGAAGCAGCGAGGAGGCCAGAAAAATGACGTGAAGGAGGTGTGGGGACAAGACCAGGTGATAAAAGGCAGCGTGAGTGGGACAAGGCATGAGGAACAGGCAGGGGCAGAGGGTGAGGGCAGCTGCCACCCTGCCCAGGGACACTGCACCGCGCGGGGCCTTGCCCCAAGCATCCCACACTGCCACTCCACTTGACCTTAGCCAAAAGGCCGAGAATCGATCACATTGCCACTCAAACGAGGACCGTTAGGGGCAGGAGAGACCCATGGGTGCCGCAGGACCCCTGGGGCCAGGACGCAGGAGTCACAACCAAAACGCCAACAGATCTTTACTCGAGCCCGCAGGAGGGGGTACAGGGCTGGGGTGCAGTCTTCGCTTCTCGGAGTGGGGGGGAGGAAGTCGGAAGCCAGGTGCTCTCAGACGCTGCAGGGCTTGTGCTTGGTGCCAGCACCTGTCCCTGTCCCTCCCGAGTCACAATGGATTCTGCAAGTTCTGCGGCCACCCAGACTCTGGGCCAGGAGGGGAACCGGAGCCGCTGGGTGCCCGTCCTGGTCCTGAGCTGGGTCAGCCCGGGTCAGCATCACGGCAGACTCTTCAGCCTCGAAGTCACTCAGAGCTCGTCAGGAGGGCTGTGTGGGAGCGGTGATGCCTTCTGGATGTCCCCCTCCTCCTCGTCCTTGGCACCGGGGTCCCCCTCAAGTCCCCCAAGCTCCTTCCTCTGCTTGTTGCTGCCGCTGGCCGCCTTGGCCTGGCCGCCCTTCTCCGCCTTCTGCCCTCCCAGCGCAGCCGTGTCACCCTTCTTGCCGGACCAGCGCTCTGCCAGGCAGCCTGCAGGGGGCGGGAGAGGCTGCGGCCCTGGCCCGAGTCGGGGCCTCTTGTGTCCCCGGGGCACCCTCTGTCCCCGCCCGTGGTCCCCTCCAGGACTCACTGGTGTCCTTGCCCTTCAGCACATGGTTGGTACACAGGAACTCGGTGAGGTCCTCCTCCTGGTGGTTCCGGTACCAGTCCTCGATCACCTCCTCGAACTCCTCCACCAGCACGTCACACTGTGGGCCAGGACACACCACACCGGGTCAGCGCGGCCGGCCCCAGCACCTGCCTCACTCCCAGGGGCTCCCCAAGCCTCCTGACCCCACAACAGGCAGGCAGCTGGGCTTCAACTGAAGCCACCAAGGTGAGGCCAGGGTCACCAGCTCCTGCCCCTCCCGTACCTGCTTCTTGAGGTCAGCCACCTCAGCGGAGGTCTCATTCCACAGCTCGTAGGGGATGTCCATCACCACCTTGACGCCCTTGTGCACCAGGCCGTGCAGTGTCTCGAAGGTCTCCGACATGCCCTGGGGCACGGAGCTGTGTTACCTACCTTGCCCTGGGGCTGAGGACCTGACTTCTGGCCCTTGACCAGGCCTTCCTGCCCCTTTCAGGCAGCTGCCCACCATCCCTGAACCCCTCCCCAGCCTTTCAAAAGGTCAGCTGTTGCCCTCAGGCTTTGAACGGAACTGCATCCCCAGACCTTGTTATCTTTTTCTGTGGCCCAGGCTCAAACTTGCAATCCTCCTGCCTCAGCCTCCAAGAATGCAGGGATTACAGGATATACCACCACACCATCTGCCCTCAGGCCTTTTAACTCAGATTCCTTTTCTCTCAGCTATTCCTTCACCTTGCTGGGCACACCCTGTTCTGGGTTCTTCCTGGCAGGAGGAAGAGGAAGCAGCCAAGGCAGGAAGGACCCTTTATTCTGTAAAAACTGTCTCTGTTGCTGGGCAGGGCCAACACATTGCCCATCTCCTCCCTCTTCCTAAAGACACACACACACACCACACGGCCCATAGCTCAGGGGTACCGCACCTAACATGAGTGAGGCCATGGGTTCCATCTGCAGCACTGCAAATAGCAGAATACAAAACATCCATGTACTTTCCCTTGCCACCCTGTTCTACACGGCAGTGGTGTGCGCACGTGGTTTTGCCTGTTTGCTCTACACACATGGGACAGGGGCTGAGCTCACAGGCAGCTCTAGCTGTGAACACTCAGGGACCAACCTCGCCCCTGCTGGTGGGAAGTTTTTTCCTGTTTGCTACAGAAAATAACTTGATTTTTAACTGTTTTATTTTATTTCTTTTCCCCAAGACAGGGTCTGGCTATGTACTTCAGCCTGGCCTCAAATTAATGGCAATTCTCCTGCCTCAGCCTCCTGAGTGCTAGGATTACAGGTGTGGGCAACTACGCCCAGCAGAACATAATTTTAAACACTTCTTAGTAAAGCAAACATGGATTCATGAGCTAAAGTCAGGTAACTGTTTTTCAGGACTAGGGATTGAACCCAGAGCCTTCACTTCATGCCGAGCTACACATATGGGCCCTTTTGTTTTTTTTTTTTTGTAATTTTTTTTTGGTACCGGGGATTGAACTCGGGTCCTTGCACTTTCAAGGCAGGCCATTGAACCGCTGAGCTAAATCCCCAGCCCCTATGTATTTTTTAAATTTTGAGACAGAGTCAAACTAAATTGCTAAATTGTCCAGAATGGGCTTGAACTTTTTTTTGTTATCATTGTTTTTTGAGACACAATCTCACTATGTAGTTGAGACTGACCTGGAACTCACTATGTAGCCCAGGCTGGTCTCGAACTCACAGCGATCCTCCTGCCTCAGCCTCCCAAGTGCTGGGATTACAGGCATGAGCCACCACGCCTGGCTGGGCTTGACATTGAGACTGCCTGCGTCAGCCTCCCAGAGTGCTGGGATTACAGGTGCATGTATCATACCTGGCTACTAAGAAGGGATTTTAGGGGGAAATTTTAGCAGAAGGGCCTGTTAGAAGCAGCTACTTCCTTTGTGCACAATGTATTCAGTGTGAGCTGGGTATCAGATGGGGTATAGGGAGGTGCTGCATGGGCCTGGGGGTGTAAACGTAACCACTGCAGTCCCCAAGTGACTTCTGAATCTCCCCAAATTCTGCACATCCGCACTTCACTGGTTCCTCCTTACACAAGGGATTTAGGTCCCCATGAGCGCTGCTACCCGGACACTTCCATCTGTGTCTGACTCAAGGAGGGACCCTGACAGGAGGCCCAGGAGGTCATGTATGTGCCTGATGCCGCTGAGCATGAGACCACCAATCCAAGAGTAGGCTGAGGCAGGAGGGCTCCTGGGATGCTCAGCACGCGCACGCGCACACACTGACGCGGGCCTGGGCGAGAGTGTGGCAGAGCCCACCTTGGCAAAGCGGTTGCTGCCGGCCCGCTCCTTGTGCAGGCTGTAGTCCAGGAGCCGCTTGCAAATGGTCTCGGTGACCTCGATCAACCGCAAGTCCCTGCCGAGACAGCAGCAGAGAGGCGCTGAGTCCCCTCCCGGGCCCGGCGCGTCCCTCCAGCCCTGCTGCCCAGCACTGGCGTGGCTGGCTCACCGACGACGGGAAGGCAGAGCTGGAAGGGAGACAGCTCATCGGGCCTGCGGGCTCGGGAGGCTGGAACACAGACCAGAGAGCAGGGTCACGGCTCTGGAACCCCGGCTGCTCGTGCCCAGCCACACCCCGGCCTATCCGCTCATTCAGTTATCTTTTGATGAACTGGGGCGGGAACTTGGGGCCTGGTCCACGCTAGGCAAGGGCTCTACCTTGAGTTTTTATTTATTAAAATTTTTTTTGGTACCAGAAATCAAACTGGGAACCTTGCACTTGCAAGGCAAACAGTGAAACCACTGAGCTAAATCCCCATCCCATTAATTTTTTTTAGAGAGACGTGAGAAGGTTTATTAGAGACAGAGAGAGATATAGGACATATTTAAAGGCAGAGTGCACATGCTCAGAGAATGAAGCTCCTTTATTCATGTTTTTTTTTTTTTTTTTTTTTGTACCAGGGATCAAACTCAGGACCTTGTGCACCACTTAGCTAAACCTCTGGCCCTATTTATGCTTTTGAGACAAGATCTTGCTAAGTAGTCCAGGCTGGCCTTGAACTCACACCAGTTCTCCTGCCTCAGCCTCCTAAGTGCTGGGTTTACAGGGGTGCACCACCATATACAGCTCGATTTTTTAATAAAGCAAAACATCAAATTTTGTTGGGAAAACATCAGTACATTTTGAAAGCAGGGTTATGGCCAACAGACATTCCTTTCAGGTTTTGATTTTAATATCTTTTGAAGGCAAGAAGCAGTGACAGTTCCACGCTTGCTCTTACAGATGAGGACTGCAGTGCAGACAAGGACTGGAGGGGGCCTCTGTGAGTGCCAGCCTCTCCCTCGGTGCAGGTCCACCCAGAGGGATAGGAAGGGCGATCGCCAAGCCCCGACCCTGAAGCAGGAGGAGGTGGGGCCCGAGCTGCGCACTTACGACTTGGTGTATCTGACGCCCGCCACCTTGCGGTCCAGGACGCCGTACCCCGTGCCAATCACCTCCTTCGTCTTGCCCGTTTCCTCAAAGGCAGACTTCAGCTCCACGGCGACGTACTTGCACACTGCAGTGGGGACACAGGACACCGCCCAGGCCTGAGCGCACAGGAGCCAGGAGGGAGGCCAGTGCCCAAGCAAGACGACCCAGGCAAGCAACGCTCCTGGCCGGGCCAGGGCACGGCTCCAGGCAGGCAGGAGTCAGCTTACCCAAGCCCTCGCGCCCCTCCTAACTTCTAAAGGCTTCACACACAGCTAGGGTGCCGGCGCTTGCCTGTAATCCTGGCACTCAGGAGGCTGAGGCAGGAAGACTGGGAGTTTGAGCCCAGACTGGGCCACCTAGCGAGTGCAAAACCAGTCTGAACTACACAGTGAGACTGTCAAAGAACAAATGAATCAGACATAGCATCCCCGAGGCTGTGGATCCGATTCCCTGAACCACAAGGAAAAAAAAAGAGGGCTGGGTTATAGATCAGTAGGAGCATCTTTGTCTAGTATTCACGAGGCCCTGGGTTCAAATCCCCCAAACCAAAAATAAAATGAAACAAAATAAACTTGATTTTTAAAAATCCCAACAAAAAGGAAAGTACTGTGATTAGTTGACTGACCTCAGAGTTAACATCTTTTAACCAACTATTTGGTCACATTATAAGGGATGGGGTTTTATGGAGAAATAGACCTGCTGCTACTATTTCTCTCCACAACCCAAGGCCAGGCCGGGCAACACAGGGAGACCTGTCTCAAAATAAAAACAGCTGAGGCGGCCAGGAATTTAGCTCAGTGGTCCTGCCGCCTGCTGGCAAGTGCAAGGACCCAAGTTTGATACCCAGTACAAAAACAAAAACAAAACCCCAAAAAATAAACATACAAAAGAATTGCTAGGAAATAAAATTTATGAAAATGTTCAATATCACTGGTCATTCAAGAGATTCCATCTCACTCCAGAAAGAATGGCTGTTATCAAGAAATCAACCATGGTGGGGCCGGGGATTTAGCTCAGTGGTTCCGCCACCTGCCTTGCAAGCACAAGGACCCAAGTTTGATCCCCAGTACCCCCACATAATATCACTGGTCATTCAAGAGATTCCATCTCACTCCAGAAAGAATGGCTGTTATCAAGAAATCAACCATGGTGGGGCCGGGGATTTAGCTCAGTGGTTCCGCCACCTGCCTTGCAAGCAAAAGGACCCAAGTTTGATCCCCAGTACCCCCCCCCCACACACAAAGAAATCAACCATGGACCAGGGATTTAGCTCAGTGGCACTATGCCTGCCTCACAAACTCAAGGTCCTGAGTTCGATCCCTGGTACAAAAAAGAAAGAAAAGAAATCAACCAAAAACAAATGCTGGAGGGGTTGAGGAGAAAAAGGAACCCTTTCCACTGTTGGTGGGAGCGTGGCCTGGTGCAACCACTGTGGAAATCAGTGTGGAGAGTCCTCAAAATACTAAAACTAGAGGTTCTATTTGACCCAGCTATTCCGCTTCTTGGTATTTTCCTGAGAGAATTTAAAAGCATCAAACCACAGTGATATACGCACACCCATGTTACAGCCCCACAGTGTGTAATAGCTAAATCTTGCAAACAGCCCAAGTGCCCATCAAACGATGAAGAGATTCAGATGTAGTTTTTTATACAATGCAGTACTACTTTGCCATAAAGAAGGATGCATTTGATGCAAGTGTAAGGACCCGAGTTCCATCCAGGTTCCAAAAAAGAAAAAGAAGAAGGATACGTTTGAGACATTTCTAGCTAAATGAATGGACCCCGTGACCATACTCTTAAGTGAAATAAATCAGGTGCACATGTTTAAATACCAACTGTTTCTCTGGTGTGCAAAACCAAAGTGGTAATAACGGCTAAAACGTATCAGAGATATTGGGAAATGGGAAGAAAATGTTCAAATGGGAAAGGGAACAAGGGAGGAGGAAGGGAAAAGAAAAAAGTGAAAGTAGAAGGAAAAATGGAAACAAAGCTTTTGTACGTGGGGCTTGAGGGGAGGGAATACTGGGAAAAAAGAGGCAGGATGTATTATGTACAGGTGCAAATTTCCCACGATGAGTGTTATCATTATGTATGCCTAAAATGTACCAATAAATGTTTTGCTATTAAAAAAAAATGGGTGAGGATGTGAGTCAGTGCCCAGTTCAACCCCAATAACACAAAAAAAGCTGCAAATAGGACCCTTCCCCACACCTATGTCAGCACATACCTTTCACATACCTCCCAAGAACAAACACCTTCCCCATATCAAAATCATTACAAAACTTGGAAAATTAACAGTAATCCCTACATCACCCAGTCGTCCCTATTAACATGTCCCAAACCTCTCCTAAATATCTTTTTTTTTGGTACTGGGTAGTGAACTCGGGTCCTGGTGCTTGCAAGACAGGCGGTGGAACCACTGAGCTAAATCCCCGGCTTCCCTAAATATCTTTTATGACTCTTTTTTGTTTGTTTGGGTTTTTTTGTTTGTTTCTGTTTTTGTTTTGGTACCAGGGATTGAACTCAGGACCTTGTGCTTTCGAGGTAAGCATGGTACCACTGAGCTAAATCCCAGGCCTTGGTTTTGGTTTCTTGAGACAGGATCTTGCTATGTAGCCCAGGCTGGACTTGAACTCAAGGCAATCCTCCTGCCTCAGCCTCCCGAGGTCTGCACCATCCTAGGCTCTTTCATGGCTGTTTACCCCGATTTCATGTATTCTAGAGCCCCAGAGGCCTTGCCCAGCTGTCTCTGGACGTGTGCTGTCCCATCTCCCCTTCCTCGGTCAGTAAGCAAGCCCTGTGCAGCAGTCCCTGCCTGGTTCAGACAGAAACAAGGCCCCCTTTCCTGGACACTGAGCCTCATGGGGCAGGCAGCACTGTAGACCATCACTGCAGGAAAGGAGCCGAAGCACCCTAGGCATCCCTACCCTTCTAATAGACACTGCATTTAACCTCGGCCTCCAGGCAGCCCTCCAGGAGTAATCCCAAAGGCTCTGCAGGCTCCTTGCTCTCCCTAAGGAGCTCAGTCATTTCCTGAGTCTCTCCCCAGACTACAAGGATCGCCAGTGTCCTTGTGCACCGGGTTGTTCCTGGGTCTCTGGCCTGAGACTCTACACAGTGAAGGCTTTGGTGCCATGGCTGACACAGCCACGCTTGTGACTGAGGCCTAAGAATGGAATTCAGAGGTACAAGAACCCAATGATGAATGCAACCATACTGTATGCCTAAAATGTACCAATAAACTCAATGAGAGAGAAAAAAAAAGGAATGGAATTCAGTGTGCAGACCAAATGCCACCTGCACCGTGACAACACTGACAGCAGAATGTGGCAAAAACCAGTTACCACAAAAATACAGAGAAGTCAAAATATATAGTGAGTGTTTAAATTTTAAGAATTTATTTCAGTTTCCAGCACTAGGGAGGCTGAGACAGGAGGATCAAGCCCAGCCTGGGCTACATAGTAAGTTCAAGACCAGAATGAACTACATGGTGAGACCCTGTCTTAAATTAAAAAAAAATAAAAAAAAAAAAAAAAAAAAAAAAAAAGAAAAAGAAATATCCCCTCAAAATCCTCCCCCTCTCTTGGAACACCCTCATCTCATTGTCCTTGTCACTTCCTGCAGCAGCTCTATAGTCCTTTCCTGAGTGTCTTCATAACGTGTGATCAAAAATATGGGGATTGGGCCAGGGATTTAGCTCAATGGCGCTGTACCTGCCTCACAAGTGCAAGGTCCTAGATTCAATTCCCAGTACCAGGGGGGAAAAATGGTGACTGCTACTGCCCAGTGGCATCCAGAAGAAGGACCAGGCTGATAAACACATTATGCTGTGTCCTCGCCTACCTCAGTCACCAGATCTGACACCATGTGTCTTGGGTCTTCCCCAAAGTCAAAATAACCACAAAAGGGAAACATTTTGAATCAATTCAGGACATCAAGGCAGCTAGGACAGCAGTGCCACCTCAGACACTCACGAAAGAGGACTCCAGAGCTGCTGCAGAGAGACAAGAACAATGGGATGAGTGTGAAGGAAGGAGTCTGAGAGAGATTCATGATGATGTCATTTACTGTAATAAATTTTTTTTTTGGCTCTGAGGATAGAACTCAGGACCTTGTGCTTGCCAGGCAGGTGCTAGGCCACTAAGCTAAATCCCTGGATCCTTGCAATAAAATTTTAAATTCACCATACATTTCTTTTTCTTTCTTTCTTCTTCTGTTTTTGTTTTTGTGCCTGGGATCGAACTCAGGACCTCGAGCTTGCAAGGCAGGCAGCAGAAGCACTGAGCTAAATCCCCGGCCCGGACATCCGCTCTCTTCTACCCATCAGCCACAACCTTGCTTCCAACTCTTCCAGGTATCGCCTCTGAGAGCCCTCCCAGAACAGGACTCGGAGGAGCTCATGGCACAGGCCCCGACCCCCAGGGGCATCCGGATGCCTGCTCCTTTCTGGGCAGCTTCTCCTTGCTCCAGTAAGAGCCTGTTCCCACCTGGCCAGGGAGCCTGAAGGCAGCGTTTTTGGGCCAGACCCCACCAACACTTAATAACAAAGGTGCAGAAACGATAATAAACGCCATACTAAGAGCAGCCTACAGGCTGGAGTTTGCCAAGCCAGTCTGCAACTGCAAATCCCTTGTAAATTAATCTTCACCAATTACAAAATGAGGTTAGGCTGGAATGATCGCTGAGATCTCTGCCAGCTCTGGGCTGCTGGGTCTGTGGATGCCTCTGAAGCCAACGAAATGTGAGCTGCTCAGGCCATGAGAATCGTAAGAGGAACGGTGGGGACTCTTGGGTATCAGAATAAATCAGAAAGTGAAGGGGAGAGGAAGTGAAACACCCAAAGGGAGGTCAGCCAGGACCAGAGGAAGGGGGCAGAGTGCACCCAACAGGGCAAACCCACACTGGGTACCAGTGAGGTCTGGGACCTCAGGATCAGCTCACTCCTCCTCGTGCAAATGGCAGGATTATGTGCTACAAACCACTCACCCCACAGGCAGAGCTTAGGGAACATCTGGCCCAGCGCAGGCTTTGAATTCAGATGAACAGGATTCAGAGCCAATTTTTCTGCGGGGTCTTGGGGATAGAGGGTGGGATGGAAAGGGTGACTGAAAGGTCAGAGGAAACAGAACTGGGGGGGCTCTCATAGTCCTAGATCCCTGGCCAGACTGCTGAAACACCTGCTTCCGCTTCTTTTTGTTTGTTTTTGCTTTTTGAGACAGGGTCACACTAAGTAGTTCAGGTTGGCTGCAAACTCGCTACAACCCTCCTGCCTCAGCCTCCCGAGTGCTGGAATTACAGATGCCCGTTCCTGCTTCTGCTTCTACGATTTGGGGACTTACCTTTTCTCAATATTCCTAAAATCTTCCTCCTCCACCCATTTTCCCAGTGCTGCATGCCTCCTGCAAAGTGCCCCTCTTAATGCCTAGGACCCTCTTCCTTCCTCCACACCCCAGGGCCCACCACTTCGTTCTTCGTGTTCTAAACACTTCTCCTGGGTGCCTACCAGAAACTGAATAGCAGACCGAGCCCCTCAGGCGCTGTCAGAGGGGGCAACAGAGCACTGCACAGCAGGGAGGGAGGCGAGGGGAGTCTCAGCGGCTGCTTCCCGTTTCGGTTCCGCAAACGCTGCGGAGCTGCCAGGCCAGGCCTGCTCTCCTCTGGGTGCCCTCTCCCCACTTCTCCTCACCTGCTACTCTCACTACCCTGCAGACTCCTGACGACGTCTCCCCGACGCCCCATGCACCCCACCTCCAGGAGATCTGCTGCTCCTCGCGGCCCCGAGCCCTACGCTCGTGTCACGGGATCCCAGGCACCCCGGTGCCCAGCGCCCACCCCAGCACCCAGTGGGTCCCTGCTCCCAGCCTGGAGTTTAGCCCCGCCCAGGCCCCGCCCTCTCACCTTCGCATTTGCTGGGCAGCCGGACCCAGTCGGTGTCCTCTGCCCGGGTTTGACTCGGGCCCAGCCCCGGAGCCGGCAACAGCAGCAGCAGTAAGGGCAGAAGTGGAAGACAGCGCGGTGCAAGCTCGATCAGCGACTCCATGGCCCGGGCGGACAGGATCCGCGCGGACCGGGCTGCGCTTCCTCCGCAGGCGCGCGCCTAGCAGCTTCCCCGCGCCGCTTCCGGGACTGTGCACGTGCCTCGGCGTAACCACGGCAACCGTGAGCCCCCCGCCCCCGCGCCCCTTCCCCTGCCGGTCTGGATCCGCCTTCCTAACGGACGGACCACCGAGCCAATGGACTTTCTCCGGGTTTGCCTTCTAGCCAATAAGAAGACGATTCTTTTTCAGACTCGGCCAATACGAGAGCAAATGGTGGCTTCAGGGACCAATGGCTACATTTTTCCCACCCCATAACGGAGGTTTGGGAGAGGTTAGAAGATCAGGACCAAGGGGCTAGAACGTCGGGTCTGGCCCTGGCCGGCCCTGCGTGGGCCGGTTCGAAAGCACTGATCCTGGAGGATGTGGGGAAGACGTTGTCCACGGTTTTCTCCTCCTGTTTAAGCATCACTTCCTTTCTAGGGTCCTAAAAGCCTCACTTGAGCACCTGCTTTAAAATTGTTATCCTTGCAGTGACTCTAGCTGTTACCCTGTTGGGTGACATCAAGATGATTCAGTCCCCGGTGCCCAGGGACCCAGCATTTGTCCTCGTGGGAACTGGAATCAGTACCTTTCTCCTTAGCCCCAGTTCCTGACAACCCAGGGTCCACCCGGCTGTTATGCTACATAGGCTGCCTGTGGTTGAAGCTTTTGTGGAATGAAAGCTTAGCAAGCAGATGGTAAAACTCTCAGGCATTTTTTTTTTTGGAGAATGTAAGCTCAACACCATCACTGTCCTGTTATTTATTTCTTTGGATTCTTAGCTCCCAGAAGGCAGGAGCTCAGCGGATGTGCAGCTGTATTTCTTTTCCTTCTGCCTCCTCAGCCGCAACAGATACTGAGGTGGCACCAGAAGGTACCAAGCAGGTCCTCTCTCTGCCATCTGAGGACACTCTGGGTCCTCAGCACTGCCTCAGGTTGTCCCGGACCTCAGTCCTGTGGACGCACAGCACACCAGGCCTGCTGCCCTAGGAAGTCATCTGCAAACTGCACTTCTGCACATAAAGCAAAAACGTTCCCCACTTCCTGTTTCCTTCCTGGAGGTTGGATTTTCTGCTGCATTAGGAAGATGGGCGGACAGAGGCCCAGGCTTTTGTCATTTTCTGGCTGCAGTGTCGGTCCCAGGCACTTCCGGGAGGCAGGGCTGCGGCAGGTGGAGTCCACCCGAGTGCCCACTTCCTCTCCCAGGGCCCAGCGAGAGCCAGCCGGAAGTGCTCAGGGAGTGGGTATGGGGAGGCCACGGGGAGACGCTGACGCTGGGGGAAGCCTGCATCCAGGATGGACAGAAGACCTCGGAGAGGACAGAGGACAGAGGACAGAGGAGGGGCAGAACAGTTTGGGGGAAGCCAAGAACTCAGTCGGCCTGAGAGCCAGAAGGATCCATGGCTCAGGTAGCGAGGCCACCGCTGGCCCTGTCCTCCCAGCCTGCACCATGGCAGGGAGCCCCGGGCCCATGGAACGGTGGAGGCTCCAGCTCAGAAGCTGTAGGGCCCCCTTGTCGCTGAACCCTGAAAACTGCAGAAAGGCGGGGGGTCTCCAGCCAGCCTGCAGGAGGAGGAGCCTGTGAGGGACTCCGTGGGGAGCTGGCACACAGGTTCAGGGAAGCCAGTGTCCCTTCCACCAAGTAGGGACGGTGCGGCATAGCTCCCACTCCCACCTGATCCTCAGACTTTCCTGTGGTGCCCGGAGGACACTGAGAGAATCTGAAGAAAGGCTTCGTTTGCTGGCAGCGCTAGGGATGTGGGACACGCAGATCAGATGCCACTGTGGGAACTTCATAGCCTATCCGTGCAAGAATCCTCTTCAGCGCCGAGCGCAGTAGCACGTACCTATCATCCCAGCACCTGGGAGGCTGAGGCAGGAGGACTGCCATGAGTTCAAGGCCGGCCTGGGCTACATGGTGAGTTCAAGGCCAGCTTTAACTACTTTGTCTTCAAAATAAATAAGACCTGGGGATTTGGCTCAGTGGTTCCGCTGCCTGCCTCACAAGCACAAGGGTCCAAGTTTGATCCCCGGTACCAAAAAAGCCAACAACTCCTCCCCCAAATAAATAAAAATAAGAGCTGGGAGTGGTACAAATCTGTAATTCTAACACTCTGGGAGGCTGAAGCGAGAGTTGCAAAGTCAAGCCCAGCCTGGGCAGATCAGTGACTTTGCAAGACCCTGTCTCAAATTTAACAATTAACAAATTTAACAATTAACAAAAGGGGCTGAAGATGCAACTCAGTGCAAAGGCCCTGGGTTCCATCCTCAGCAACAAACAAAACAAGGCAACACAATCCCGCAAACCAAAAGCCTCTTTAGGAAACGAGGCAGAATCAAACCAGCTGGCTCCAGCTCCGGGCTCCCCTCCTTCCGGCCCAGCACCCTCACTGGCTCCTGCCTCCCCGCCTCCCCCTCACAGCTTGGGCCAGACCAGGGTGGCCTTGCCCAGCACCTGACTTGGGGAGTCAGAGGTGGGCAGCTTCCTCCAGCCTCAGCCTTGTGCTACAACTGCAGCTTCCTGAGTTCGGGAAGCCTCCTCCTCCCGAGAGCCTCCCAGACTCTGCCCATTTCCTGCCCCACCCAACATGATTAAATATTAACCATTTAAAATAACAATATTTAAACATTTTCATTTCCTTTTGTCATTTAAGTTCTTCTTTAATTGTGCTCAGCTCTCTGCCCCTGGAATGCCCAGGGTCTGGACAGATCCGTGCTGAACAGGGCTCTTGGTGTGAAGAGGAGACACAGCCTTCATCTGCCCAACGCCCTCAGTCTAAGGGAGGAGGCAGAGCCCCCGCCTCAGGAAACCTAGTCCACTGAAGGAGGCAGCTCACACTTAAAAAAATGCTCAGAGGCAGGTGATGTGGTAGTACACATCTGTGATCCCAGCACTGGAGGCTGAGGCAGGAGAACTGCAAGTTAAGTCCAGGCTGAGGTACTTTGCAAGAACCTGAATCAAAACTGGAAACGAAGATTCAAGTCTTAGGAAAGGGTGTCCCGAGCAGCAGGCTGGGCACCATGGGTAGAGCACATCCCCTCCTCTGACCTGGATGGCAGCTGCCCCTTTGGTTGTCCCTCAGTCAGTGCGGCCAGGCACTGGGGTGGTGGCTGGCAGTGGGAGCAGGTCAGGAGCACGTCAAGGAGCAGAAGCTTGAAGAGCAGCATCCTTAGGGCCCCCAGCCACAAGCCCTGGGCCTGGGACCCTGTGAGGGGAGAAGCAGAGAGGAGGGGAAGAGCCTCAGCAGGGGTCTCTCCTCTGCTCTGGCCTTGGTCCTCTTCTCTGTCCCCTCCTCCAAGGAGTCCTTGCTGGGTGCCAAACCTCAGAGGACCTGCCCAGCCCTCAAGGGCAGTGTGCTGGCAGAATTAGCATCTGACACGGACAGCCCAGACTTCTTTATTTGCTCAAGAAACAAACTTCACAGCATTCTGGGAGGCTGAGGCAGGATGATCTCAAATATCAACCCAGCCTGGGGAACCTAGTGACTTAGACCCTGGCTCAAAATGACATATAAAAATATTTTTAAAGTTTGGGGCGTGTAGCTCAGTGCTACCCGGCCTTCTGTCACCTGTGCTCACTCTGACATCCAGGAGTTGGACTGGGGGGCAGAGGACTCACCTCATCTGACCCGAGGGAGCAACGGCCCAGGGCCCTGGCTGCCTTTGGCTCCCAGCCTAGCGCGGTCACTCACCTCCGGGAGGCTCCGGGAAGCAGGTCCTGGCGGCAGAGGCTGCTCCTGCCAGCCAAAGAGAGGGCGGTGGGTCAGCGCCCGGAGCCAGGCCCGGGTGCGGCTTTCAGGGGACGCGGTTCCCTGTGAAAAATAATGCCCATTCCAACTGAAGTCTTATTAAATAGCTTTTGGGGGCCCCCTCCCTCACCAACACACAGAAAAAGCTCAACTTTCTGTGCTTCTCTGGCTCCCTCTTGGTGCTGTGCCATCATTGTCTGCACAGCTCCTACTCATCCTTTTGTCCGAGTGCCACCTC